ATTTCATGTGCATGTATTTATTATAAATTACAAATTAAATTTAAAATCATATTCCCTAAAAAAAAATTATACTTAAAAAGAATTGAACTACCTATATTCTTTTACAATCTAGTAATTTTTATTTATTTATTTTGTTTCATAAGAACTACAATATTTGGTATGATTAATAAGTATATATAAATTTAGTCATATATACTTTTTTAAAAATTTATCTGTCTTGATTGGATTGTTATTTGAAGTAAAGTAATATTATAGTTGTATGGGTTATAAATGGAAAATTGTAATCGCACAGTCTTGTATCTCTAAAATGCAAATTGTGAATAAAACAACCCTTCAAATTTTCATGAAAAGAAATCCAAGATCATATCATTCCTTTACATCCAGTCACATAATCTAATGATGCTTGAAAATGAGAATACTCTAATGATGCCTGGTGAAACATTTACAGATTATTTTATTCTTTTACTTGCATTTTAGGACGTTTGATTGGAATTTTCCGATAATAATCTAACATCGATTTTCTGTCTCTTAGTAAGGTTTTACTTATTTAAATTAATTATATATGTATTTATTTACAGGTATTAACACATATTTATAGTTTTATTGTATTATCTCATTTTTTTTTTTTTTTCAAGAAAACTCCTTTTTAAATTTACATAGCTTGGGAAGTAACTTTTTTTTTTTTTATATTGTTGTAATGGCTCTACCCCAAAGGATCATTGGCATTTCTTGTATTTTAGAATCCTTTGGTAAAATGTGATTCTTTTTAAGAATACCATAAAGGAATTTCATGCCAGTTTCTGAGTCTTCTAGTGTTTCTCGTATATCATAACTCATCCTCGACTTTTTACTTATAAGTGCATACTGCAATGGGCACTCAAACAATAAATGGGTGACTGTTCTAGGAGCACCACAATCGACACAGGTAGGGCTTCCAGACCACAGAGATCTGATATCCATGATATCCATTTGCAATGACCGATCCTGATGCTGCACAATATAATTTTTCTCGCCTTGATTCTCTGCAGCTAGTGCTCCATTTTGAGTTAATTTCTTTCTATCTGGAGTAATTTTGAAGAATAGCTCCTCCAAGCTCGGTCACCGGCAAGATTTTGAACTTCCGAACACAATCTTCTCGAGTAACACAATAGGTTAGGATTTTTATTTGTCTGTTGTCACCAATTTGAATTTTCCAAGAAGTGATATCTGCTTTTTCGTTTCCCTTAATTTCATAATTGGATGAGGCCCAAATGAAAGCTACATCACAGCCCTTTTTTTTTCTCTCTATTTCCCAAATAATTTTCAAAATTTCAGCAATTGCTCAATGTTTTGGTGTCTGCTTATTAAGTGCCAAAAGGAAACCCTTTGAGTCATTTACACTAGCTGTAGTAGTTTAATTTATAACTTTTTTTTTTTAATTTATATTTATTTTAACTGTAATTTTTACATTAGTTTATGTATGAATTATGAAGTGAACATTTCATGATGTGATTTAAATTTTTATCTTTTTTTTTAATGGATTTGGATAAATCCATACAGCCAGCTAGAAATTTAAGTTTCTGACAATTCTTAGGCCATATTAAACTAAATATATTTCCTAATTGATTTAAAATATTTTACCACACTGCTTATCTGTTCTCCATTGCTCACAGACAGTATTTGTTTATAAATAATACGGCTTTTGTTTAGGGATTGGAAAAATTTTCTTCTGTGAGATTCGTAAGGTTCTCATCCCATGACAATATCAATAATATAATTGGATCATGAATTTTTAAGTAACCTCTTATTTCTTAATGCAGAAGGAAACTGAATTCATTTGTTTTCTTGTTCACATATTTAGATATTTGCATACGACAAACATATGAAGACTGAATCAAATTAATTATTTTAATTTAGACTTGTCAATAGTGCTTTTGGTCACTTGGACCCACTGAAAATTATTTTAAATTACACCTAGGCCTCTTATGAAAATATGCTTATAAATAAACAAATCTCTACAGCAGGTATCAGTGCTAGTAATAGATTCTGAGGCATTTAAACCAAGTTATTATTTTCAGTTTGTGTCCAAATAGCATTGGGTTATAATACAATCCTTTCATTTCACTTAAGATAAGGATAAAGGACTAATGAAAATTCAATGAATAAATTTAAAACTTATTAAAACATTTTATCTTCTATGATTTAAAAAAAAAACTCATAACAAAATCTTTAGAATAAACAAACACTTTGGATTTTAGAAATATCACTCTTGAATTGTTCTACCATGAATAAACACCATGATTTTTCAATAATATATTTTAATTTTACATTTGTTACCCAAGTGAGGGATCATTTTACTCAGAGATCTATTTTAGAAATACTTTAATCTGACCTGTATTATTAAATAACAATTTAATTTGTGAACTATTTAGCAATTCTGCAAATTATTGAAAATAGGGTTCTTCTTATACATCTCATACATGATAAATTTATGAACTAAATATTTTTATTAGTACATTTAGAAAAATAGGAAAGAGTAGATACAGAATTTATAACACTTGATCTGGTGGATATTGTTACATCCAATATTCAGGTAAAACTGTACATATATATATTTTTTTCAAATTTAATTAACATTAAATTTTACTTTATTAGCACTAATTGTTAAATATAATATAATCTGTCTCTAGATGTAGCTGTTTAATCACTTAATATTTTTAGCTTTCCCTGTAGATTGTTTTTTAACTGTTTTTATATTATTCTATATTCTACATAGATTGTAGGAAAGCACATGATATTAATAATTTCATTGTAAATATTTGAGAAAAATTTTCACAATTTTGCATCAGAAACCTCAATAATTACTGTTTTATTTATGAATAAAATTATTTAAAATAAATAATAATCATTACTACATATAAAACAACATATAATAATACACCACCATTACATTGGCCAAATTTACTTTATTTATACATAATCATTGTTTGTTTATGGCTGTGTTAACTTGTGAATATCAAGAAAATGGCTTTTAATAATTCTAATGTGCAAATTTCAATGAATTTTCTACTTTATTTGACTTTTTTTTTTTTTATTTACTTAATTGTAATAAATTAATACAGTTTTTCTCTTCACAGTTGAACTTAGCTAGTTCATTGGAGATTTTGCATTCATCCTAACAGTTATTTTTAATTGCTATCAATTACAAAAATCTAATAGTCTATTAATAGCATTTGAAAAACCCATTAATATGATTACAACTTTCTGGTGTACTGAAGTTTAATTGTGTAGGGACAAATTTCATTTATTCATCCAAAAATCACTTCAGAACTGATAAATAAAATCCTGTTGTGGATTTTTATTTTTATTTTGCAATTTATATTGAAATCCATTGAAAACTTTACCATTACTAAAAATCTGGTGTGACACACTTTACACAACTTTCACTTATCCTCCTGCTGTGGGTAGAAATTAGTTTTTTATCTATCTTAAATTTTAAGAATATTACTCTAGCGATAAATAAAAATGGAATCAGCAACTATAAACTACAGATAATCCTTAATTCATTTCTTATTCATGATGGCATAACCTCTTCTCACTTTATTTCCACATGTATGTGAAAGTAAAAATTATATAGAGAACAACATATCCATTTAAAACAATTAAAATCCATACATTTTTCTTAAGGCTTGATCTGTTAAGTTTATATATTTTTTGCCACTCTTCGATTACCTTCTAGGACTTCATATGTTTGATATTAATTTTTCTGAAACCATTCACTTTCCAAAATTAAATTATACTCTCTATATTACAGTTTTTATTTATGAAAATTTGTTTTTAATCTGGTCAAATATTTTTCCTTTTTTCTCATTTAGCTTCCTCTTATACAAAATTCTTATAAGGCCTGTCCTAACTTATCGATCAGAGACCTGAACCCTTACAAGTAATGAGGAAAGGGAAATTCTTATATTCGAAAGAAAAATCCTTAGTCGAATAATTGGATCGGGTAAATTTGGAAAGGACTGGAAGGATAGAACTAGTAAGGAAATTTACGAGCTTTATGGCGAGGCCAACATAATGAGAATTATTGAGTTGTTAAGACTGCAGTGGGCTAGCAAAGTTACATGCATGCCAGAGGAAGAAATGCCCAGAAAACTGCTGGATGGGAGGCTCCGCAGGGTGAAAGAAAGAGAAAGACCATGGCTTAGATGGTAGGACACTGTTGCCAGGGATACCTGCAGTCTACTCATCATCAACAACTAGCGAGCGACAGCACAAGACTGGCGAAGACTTTTCGAGGAGGCCAATGACCACATTGGTCTGTAGTCCCAAGGAGTGTGTGTGTCTTATTTAGTTTAATATCAATGTTTTTTATAGTTTATATTTAACCATTTTTTATTTCTAATAATAGTGAGTTATTGTTAATCATTTCGAACAACCAAAATAAAATAAATGTTGGTGTAATATCACAGGTATATACCAACATTAAATATTTAATTTAAGTTTCTTACATTTTTAAATTTTATTTTCTACTTTAGAACGAGCTCCTCAAAATTTCTATTTCCAATGAAAACTGTGATTCCAATTTTTTCTCTTTTCAAAGTTTAAAGGTTTTGACTGTTCATTAAATGAACTAAATATGCACATAGACTTGTAAATAAATTATTACTAGATTTTATATTAGATAAAAGGACCATTGATAGCCCAATTATTGCTTGTTTATCTCTTTCTTGAAATGGGAGAAGTTGACAGTTCCGACCTTTATAAAGTTTTTATGACATAGTAATCTTTTTTGGCATTATTAATATTTTAACTTTGGGTGTGTGGTATTTCAATATAAACTGCAAAATTGAACTTGTGACCTAAGAGGGTCTGTAACATTTTAATAGGATGTTAATTACTAAAGATTCAAACACCATTGAAGCTGTTTATTCATATTCACAAAGTAAGCTCATGCCAAAACACTAGTAAATAAAATAAATAAAAATAATTGAAACATATTAAAATTACATTTTATTTAGATATTAACCCAAGAAGATTGGAATGTTGTCCTGTTTAATGGCATGGAAAAAACAAGCCATTGGGCAGCCCTATATTTTGTAGCTCTTATGACGTTTGGGAATTATGTTCTCTTCAACCTTCTAGTAGCCATTTTGGTAGAAGGTTTCTCATCAGAGGTAAATACTTAGTTTAGTATTTAGTAAAGAAGAATCAAGAGAGATGATATGTTAAAATCTTAACGTCTGATGATTTTGAAGGAATTGAACCATGTGCCTATAATTCTGAAGTTTGGCATTACAACAAATAGGTGTAATAGTTGTACCTTTTTGTGGGCCCTGTGATTTAATAATGAGATTATGTTTTGCTGAATAAATGTATATTAACTTCAGATAGCTAGTTTTTCAAATATTTGTTTGTGAAACTACTTTCACTTTTAGGATTGCGCTATTCATTATTCATTTATTGTGATTTCCAATTTCTTTGATATTTATATAAAATAATATGGATGCAAATGTTTTGATCCATATTTTAGGTCTTCATCAGGGCTGAAGAAACATATAATTTAAAATTACAGACCCACTGCTCAAACCCTATCTCAACGTTATCAGATGTAAAACCCTCCACATATCACTCCTCTTCATTCTTCTTCTCAGTTTTCATCTTTTTCCTATTTCAATATCACAGTATTTATCTTTGTATTTATAGCTATTTGAAGTTAAGATCTAAATGTTGAAGGTTTTGAAAATTTAACATTATAACCTCTCTTAAATATCTTGTGATTATTTTATATCAAAACTCTTGATTATTATAAATAACATTACATACATATATGTGTGAATTGTTTACTTTATACAGTTAAGAAAAGTTATGTAATTTTTCAATCAGAGACATGAAAGAAGAGAGAGAGAACAGAGGGAGCTGGCCAAGCAGCAACAAGCACTTCAGAGAAAATATTCAGAATGTTATAGTGAAGATGTTTACAGTTCATGTTCACTTTCAGAACAAGACAGCTGCTTTCAGGTGATATTATTTAAAGTTATTCATAAATTAAATTTACTCTTAGCCTCATGTACGTTTGAAATGTTATTTTTATTTATTTGATTGACCATATATTTTCACCAAATGAAAATAAACCTTATTAGTTCTTTATAATACATAGATCAGTTCTATAAATAAAGGTATGTGTACATATAATACATAAGGAATACTTCTTTTAATGACAAAAAACATTTTTTTCTCCTATCAAAATTCAATCAGAAACACATGAATAAATGAAATATATGAGTGAAACAAATTTTCTATTATCATTATCTATTGATTTCCATACATAATAACATTTCAGGTATGTCTTCTTATCATCAGGACTTATTTCTTGTTTTCTTCTATAATGTTATGGCTATAAATAGCTATTAAATTACTATGTTAACATGTTTTTACAAATATTGCCACACATTTCATCATTGACTCAACTTGTCTGGCCAATTGTGTGGAACTATTTTTTAACTTTACCATATATTAATATACATATGACCCTCAGATTAATTTTTCTATTTTATTTTGATTTTTATCAACTATATTTGTTAAATTTATATATATATATATATATATATATATATATATATATATATATATATATATATATATACTTTTTTTTCTTTTGTACACTTGGGATTAAATTAAATAGTCTGAACAAGACAAATAAGGTTAGTTCCATTGGGTATTTCTTTTCCTTTTGTTGACTCACCTCTAGTGAAAACATAACCATTGTGAATCATCAACATTCAATCACACATCATTTATAAGCTGACCATTAGTGATTAATTTATTTAATATTATATATTATAAGTAATGAATAAATTGTTTTTTTTTTATAATTATTCAATTGATAATAATTTAGTGTTATCACTAACCAAGTGAATTCTATTATAAATATAATTCTAATATAATATAAATATTATAATATGCATATTATATTATATTGAATCATATTAATATAATATTATAAATTTCATTACAAATTGTGTTTTTATATTTAATGTTTTTTTTTTCTTGTCAAACCAAGTGAAACCTTTATTATAACACTATTAAATAAATTAGCTAAAATTTTATCTTATAAGGAGGCAAAAAGTGAGAGAGATATGGAAATTTTAAGAAAAGTAAAAGATAATGGGCATAGAGAAAAAGAAAATAGTATGAAGTTGAAGCAGCTTCAAAACAAAACAGAATATGACACTAAATGTAATATTCAAAAAGGTAAATAGGATTCCTAAAAAAATATTTTGAAAATATATTTTGATAATTTGGTTGAATTTCTTCATCTATGGTAAGAAGATATTGTTATAGAAAATCAAATGATGTCTCAAACTCCTATCATCACTCATACTGCTGCCACGCCTCAAGATTCGCCTAACGCAACATTAGATGGTAGTACAAGAGACTTTAACAACAGAATTTCAAATGCTTTACAGTTTTATTCGAGCTCACTCTCTATAGACTCCATCGATTGTTCTGTGGTGAGATTTACTAGAAAGTTTTCTAGACTAGAAACTGATTGTGCCTTCAAATTAATATGTTTTATAAAACTTGTCTTGTTAGTTATTGCATGGACGTGATGTACCAAGGTTTAATATATTTTTATTTGATTTTTTTTTTAAAAAGAAAATCAATAGTTTGTATTATTCTAAAAAAAAAAAAAAAAAACTCTTCTGAAACTACTTCATCTTTCTATAATTGTATTAGATTTTTTTTCTATCTTTCTAAATAATATTATTCACAAATTTCTTCTTTATAGAGTATTGAAAGCAGTTCAGTTGATTATCAGACTGATGGGGAAAAATTATAAAAAATAAAATAATTGAGATATTATAAAGAACAATCATTATTAGCTACCTTATTATATTTTTTCTTTAAAAATTTATGATTTGAATATCTCTTTTATACCTCAATTACTGAAATTTTAATGTACTATAGAAATAATCACAGTATATTTGGGCCCTTACTTTAAAACAAGTAAAAGAAAATTAAATCACCGCCATCAAAAAGAAACCTGCCCAACTACAGGAGCCAAAATTATTAATCATCAGAAAAACTATATATATACATTTAAATATTAAAAGAAGAAAACATTGGAAAGAAAGAATGCCATAAAGTATGAGTATAAGTCAATCATATTTGTGACCATACTGGCAAGATTGACATAGAATGAGGCTCTAGCCTGAATAAAAATTGATTTTATGACTAACTAAATTTAAAAGGTATCTCCTTTGCTTCATCATTTATAACGTAATAAAAATTAGTTTAAGTTGATATAATCTCTGTGCTTTGCCTTCATTATTTATAATTTTGTTTAAAAAATGCTGTCTATGTCAAATAAAATTTTTACTTTAAAATAAAATATATTTATTAAAATAATTGTAGGATAAAAAAGTGCTCATAGATTAAATTCATTTGAATAAACGTAAAGTAAATTTCAGTTTTATATTGCAATAGGTGAGACCTTATATTGAAAAATTATTATAATGTAAAAATACCTTGTATGAGACCTTTAACTTCTATGTTCTGACTTTTTAACTGGAGTGAGATATTGACTTCAAATTCTATATACGATATATTTATCTTATTTGTTGTGAAGTCCCTAAATAAAAATCAAGTATATAATAGATGTTTAATGGACTAAAGATGAGAAAGTGTTACAAACAATAAAAACATAGCAAAAAAACTACAAGTATATGCACCACCAATGTACTAAATTCCTTCAATTATTTTTTTATCTATATTGTGGAGAAACAAAAATTCATATTTTATTGGTTGAGAAGTTGTTTGTGGGTTTCACTAAGTGAGAATACTGAAATAAAATTTATAAAATATATATTTATTATTAGTACATTAAAAATAAACATTAATTACCTTTTTCTTATTTTATTCATTTATTTATTTTTATTCTTGATATGGGCCGACTCCTCTGGTCCATCAATATATCACTTAGTCTTTTTTTGTTGCTTCTGTTCTCCTCCTCCACACTTCCTTCATCCCCATGAAGTGCTGTGCCTCCCTCTCTTCTAACCACTTCTTCTCTGCACTCCTCTTTTCCATTTCAAGTAACCTCATTTGGTCAACACATTTCCGGAATTTGACTCTATCCATACAAAACCTCGCTTGTTAAATTCAGTTTGGCTATTTGTTCTTTATCTGTTTTGGATAACTCTTTATATTCTTGAGTCCTAGCACATTATCAAAAAAATTGTCTTATTAGATCTATTTTTGTCCATCTTTACTTAGGGTACGAAACCTTCTCGCTCTCATTATAAGGTCCTCTCCTATCATGGGATAGGAAAACCATAGGAGTTTTCGGGCTAGACACAGCTCCTTCCGTTCCCGACCTCTATATGATGTACACACCTGTAGATCCTTACCATATGACCTTAAAATCTCATTCTTCTTTTTCTCATTGATGTCCTCATTCTGTATTCCCTCTCTATTTTCTTAGTGCCATTTATTGTAAATAACCGTCCATTTTGTTGGGGGTCTTGGTTATTTTCACTCGTGAATTTTAATTTTTAAAATTAAACCCGTCTCTGGATATAAACTTTTTGAGGATGTTTGCTGCTGTTGGAAATTCAGGATCCTAATGCTTTTGTGATTCTGAGTTGCAAGAAATAATAAATATATACATATATATGAAATGTGAGACTGAGCAAATACACTTTGAAATGAATTGTCTCATCTGGTTTGTTGTTCTTCAGTTTTGAGGCATATATGACAACTAAATAAAAGAACCATCCACTCCTGTATAATAAGATAATTTATTTTAACAACTATAATGAATGAATCTATTAATGTCTTTTAATTGTAGGCTTGATCTTCTTAATCTTTAGCGAAGTGCTTCTCTCCTGCCCTTCACGTACATCTGTCTTCATGTCCTAGTCTGAAGTAGAGTCTTTTACTAGACTCTCTTTGTTTTTCCTTTCTACATCCCTCTCCAGCTGCTACCATCTGCCGGACGCTGTTCTAGGCTTCTTCCTTTCTTTGTTCTGTTGTACATGTTTCATCAATTGTTTATTCATTTGGTACTTTTCACTCAACAGCTTGTCTACTGCACAATTGAGTCAAATTCATAGTGCAACACTACATTCCTATACATTCCCTCACTCAATTTCATATAAAGGAGTAAATAGAGGCCATTTTACTTTTTATGAAAGATTCTTTTTATTATCGGCATCTTTTGTCAAATGTTCCAATCTCTCCAATTTTACTTTCGTACTTTTGGTCACCTAAGTGTCCCCTCCATTATAATTCATGATTTCTGCTAGATACTTAAACTGCTTGACCATTTTGATTGTCCCATATTTTGTCTCAATTTTCCCTTTTGTTTCCATGTTATTGGACATTATTTTTATTTTTTTTCAAAAGATATGTTCTGAACTGCCCTTTCCATTGTCTTTTTCAATTCCACAATTTGGCCTATTGCTAATTGCTTGCTTTCAGTCAGTAGGCTAAACCATCTGTGAATGCTTCTTAATTTTTATTTTATAATTTTTTCTTATTTGTTTGTTCTCACGTACTCCAACCCCCAACCAACTTCCCAACCATATTGTCTGCAGTCAATCACTTCTTCAACATTATATTATCATCATCTTATTTGAAGACTAATCAGATATTGGAATCATAAATATACCTGCTTGGTATTTGAATCTACAGTATTATGAGCCTCATTATAGTGAGGGTCCACTATATCATAAAATATTTAGTTGGTAACTCAATAAACTATAGTTTTCTTTATCAACTGAACTGTTAATATTCTAATATCAATGTCTTCTTCTAATCTCACTTCTATAAAAATTAGTAATGCAATACTAAATCTCATGTCTCTTATTATTTTGCATGTAGGTTCAGTTTTAAATGCACAGTTTCAGTGTTGTTTGGCAATATTCTTTTAGTAATTTTCCAGTTTCAGTTTTCACTCTTAACAATAGTGACTAGTGATTTATTTTATAAATAGAATTTTTTTTAAGATTCGCCATAGGATTCATGCTAGTTAATTTTGTAATAAATCGAAATTTTGTTTTGTATGATATGGATATAAGATTAGTCTTATAAAAAAATGTTAGTAGCTAATACTAGTGATGAATGAAATATTTTTTAGAGAATTATTTCATAAACTAATTTTCTGTATACATATATTTAAAATAAAATCTAAAAATTCTGTGATTTTTCTTGTAAAAGTTTTTTTTATTTTGTTGTAAATCATATGAATTACATATGAAAATATACATATTTTGAATAATCATTGAATACCACTTGGATACTGTGCACACTTATTTTTAGAAACAATACCTGTTTCTCAGAGTATAGAATATCATGCCAATATTTTAAACAATTTAACAGTATTGCACATTTGTATATAAAATGTTTTGCTTTAGCCAGAGTTATTAATCACTATGTCCCATATCGACTGTGCAAGAAATAACTTACTTTTAAAAGAAGCCTACTTCTGTTTAAAAGAAAATATTAGTCCAAAATACTATCCTGAAATGGAAAATGTGGCTTAGTGTTCGATATCTCTGAGATTCAGTTAAATACAAAATATTTATACAATTACCAATTATTTTTTCTGTTTTAAAGACTAACCCTGATACTTCACTAGTTTAAAGCTTATCCTACATTCAAGCTTTTTTTTTTATCCTTTGCAATTCATTAACTAAAACTTTGCAATAATTTTTGCTCAAATACCTAATGATGTTTCTCCCTATTTTTGGTAAAGCTAGAACAAGCAGAAAAACATGTCATAACCTCTCACAGTTTATCATCCTGCTGTTTTTGTATTTTATATCCAACTTTAAATTGACAAATGAAGATTTGACCTTCAGGTTTTTTTTTTTTTTTTTTTATTTGAGGAACCTAATGGATTCCAAACGTTTCATGATTAAACGTTTATGAACTCATCTGCAAGATACTTTTACCTAAACATGAAAAAACAATTAAACAACATAATAAAGTCAAAGGAAATACAAAAAGTTTGGATATCATATATTATCCAATGTTATCTAAAACATTTTTTTAATGCTTTTTAAATCCCATTATTGATAATACAAACGTTGATTTATTAAATATGCACATTGGAATTGCAAATGCTTTCACTTATTAAAATAAAACGCACTGTCTTTGGGCCTTAGTTTTTATAAAAGTTCTCACATTTTTGATAAGTGTTTTCATGTTTTTAATACATAAAATTCTAGTTACTGTATAATAACTTTTACTTTTACCGTCATTTTAGTGTAATTTTTAATTATCTAAGAATTCTCATTCTTAGGGAAATACAATAATCGAAATCCAGGAATATGTTTGCTTTTTTAAAGTATTTAATATCGCTAAAAGCTGTGTTGGCGAAATACGTGTTATATGGTACAAAGTTATTGATCTTTTTAATATATTTTACAATAATTATTTAAGCTTTCAGTAAAATAACTGATTATTTTTCACTGAAAATTTTAACTTGTGAATTGATCAAATCATTAATCATCTACAATGTGTCCCCTTTATTTGCTATTAAGTTTATTAATGTATTTGAATACAAATTTTACTCTTCCCTCTCTTATTTCTACAATGTTTGAGTTTTGTAGATTCAATTTACATTTCAATAAACATTATACATTTCAAATTGTCTTTAATCAGTTATGATTTTTTTTTCTGAGGAGTAAGTCTTTTTATTGTACAAATTCTTGTGTTATGCTTATATGCCTGGTATGTGCTTGAGCTGCGATAGATTTTCCAGACTTCTGTGCAACAGTTTCTGTCTTTGATACAAATTAACAATGGAATCAACCCCAACAACTTTTCTACTTCAAACTGAACTACCCTGCGTGTTTTATCAGCAGTGGGTTTGCCTTTTATTCCATGTGTTTATATATATTTATTCATTATTTTATATCATATTTATATATGTAGTAATGGAATTATGATATGAAATTAAAAACTTGTTATTTTGCCTTACTTTTTTAATTTTTTTGATTTTAGTCTTCTCAAGTAAGCATCCCTGGTATGTTGAAAGTTCCTACCCTAACAGTTAATAATCTCAATCCTTCACAGCCTGCGTTCAGTGGAAGGAGAGCAAGTGTTACTAACAACGACAACTCACAATTGTAATTATTATCTCATCTTATTTAACTATACAAGTTTATTTATTTTTTACAAAGATCATATAGTTTACAGTAAACTCTTGCTAGTCCAGATATCTGGTTAATTTGGATAATGAAGGTGCCGGCACTGCACAGTGAGATGAATGACCAATCTAGGTAGAAAAAATTAATGGTGAACTTTTTTAAATCCGACATAATCAGAAAAATGAGGAATGTTTAATTAGATAATTAGAAGATCGTCATAAATTGTTTAGATTTTAGTGATTCCAAACGATAAATACAACCCTCTAAACAACTACTGATTTGATGACTCATGTTTTGTTCAGTTATTGTCTTATCTTTCATTTTAGCTTAGTACTAGTGGTAAATTTTTTTTTACAATAATAATTTTTATTTGATAGGTATAGATTATATATACTGTTGCCTATTATTTAATTAAATCATTCATCAAATTATCAATTTATAAGTTGATCAATTAACTTATTTATTGTACATGCTCTAAAATAAAGTAATTATATAGCTTCAAAAGTAATTTACTAAAATATGCCCAAAAATACCTCTGTGAAATTTTTATCAGATGCTGCTTAGTAGATTTATTAAAGTAAAATACAAGAGTCGATTGCCTTTGTCAGTATTTTGAAACATTATTTTATTTTTAAAATATTCTATTTAATAAAGAAAGTTATTCGGCATTTAGAAAAATCTGCTGATGTTTAGAAGAAAAATGTATTTATGTATGTATATATATATATATATATATATATATATATATATATATATATATATATATATATATATATATATATATATATATTTACAACTTTTCCTTCATCGACCTTTGAGTATTAAATTCAAACTTCACTATTTTATTGGGAATAAGGTCATTTAATTATTATTTAATAAACTAATTAATGTTCATTTCTTCTGTTTATTGACGTTTCGATCCCGGTATTTTCTTTTTATTAGTCAACCATGGGATCCTCTTCAAAGCTAGAATTTAAAAAAATATAGAGCTTCGATCAGGCCAGGGACACACCGACAGCCTCAGCACCGTCCACTAGCACATATATTAAGCTACTGTATCTCTCTTATATATATACTGTAGTTTATTAAATAATAATTAAATGACCTTATTCCCAATAAAATAGTGAAGTTTGAGTATATATATATATATATATATATATATATATATATAATATATATATATATATATATATATATATATATATATATATATATATATATATATATATATAATATATATATATATATATATATATATATATATATATATATATACTCAAACTTCACTATTTTATTGGGAATAAGGTCATTTAATTATTATTTAATAAACTAACTAAGTTTATTAAATAATAATTTTTAAATAGTTTAAACTAAGTTTATTAAATAATAATTAAATGACCTTATTCCCAATAAAATAGTGAAGTTTGAGTATATATATATATATATATATATATATATATATATATATATATATATATATATATATATATATATTTATATATATATATATATATATACTATAATTAATGTTATATAGCAATGAATCAAGTTGGCAAACATCTCTTTTGCTATATTAAGAAATTATCTTTTTTTGTATTTGAAATGCTCAAAATAAATTACTGAATTGAGAGAATCCTACTTATAAGTATACAATGTATATATATATATATATATATATATATATATATATATATATATATATATATATATATATATATATATAGAAGGATTAAGAAAAATATATGTATACTATACATATATTTTTCTTATCCTCCGTTTTATTTTTCATCTATTACAATGTTAGTACATGCAGTATTTACAAACACACTATCTCTCTCTCTCTCTCTCTCTCTCTCTCTCTATATATATATATATATATATATATATATATATATATATAAATGTATATATTGTTAGGTTACATTTCCTTTGAGAATAAAATATCAAGAGTTAGAGTTTTTCCACCTAGATTAGATTGGTCATTCGTCCCACTGTGCAGTGTGGTTAGGGGAGAGAGGCTCTTACTGCCTTCTCCAAAACTTTAGGAAAGGGAACCCTCCCTTCCAGTATTTCCCCAATTTAGTTGAAAAAGATTAATGATCCCTACAGGTAATAGTTATATAATTTTACAGGCAATAATTGAATATTATTCAGCCGTCTGTAGGCCGAATACCTTTTTCTATTATGCCATCATACAGACCTTTTGCTTTTAAAGACACTACTATTTTCATGGACCATATCCCACAATTCTCTACTATTAAATTTTCAATGCCGAACACTGTTGCATCTATTGTCCTTTGTTTTCAATGGCATTTAGTCCGAAAAAAAAGGCAAATCTCGCTTAACTGTATAATATCCATAATACTATCTTTTACACAAACTTACTAAAGCACTTAACCACACTCTTCTACCATTTTTTTATGGAATTGTGGGGTTTAAAACAAAAAGAGTCAAGATCTAATGTTACTCTAATGGCAGCCGCAGGCGGACAGACCCTATCCACACATCCCCATTCCGACATTGGTCTGAACCAGTGTTGCCACCTTTATTGTTACATTTATTTATACTTTACAATTACAAAATACATATCTTATTTATGCAAATAATAAAGTAATTTTCCACAACTGGTCTTTCATATTATAATCAGAGGATCATAAAATAATCATGGATATGTTTCAGAACATCTATTTTTCAACGAAGATGCTCCTGGAAAATGTCTCGATCTTCTCTTAGGAGGAAATCTAGAGCAAGCGAAGATGAAGAACAAAGTATAATGCTCAATAACAACAACCACTTGATTGCTAGCCCTCTGTGTGTTATCTTCCCATTCTGTTTTGTTTCTTCTTTTAAATATAACAAATAAATAATTCTATGATTTAACTTCTTAGGCACAGTGGAGAGCATTCACATTGCAATGGAAATATTGAAACAATCAGAAATGATACTCAAAGTACTAGAAATTCTCAAAATAATAGGCTAGCTGCACAAAATGCCATCAGAAACACCACTGAACAATCTTTCAGTCAACAGGTAATTTTTACTACTTCGTCAGATTTTTTTTATTTCCTATTGCTGTAAGGTAAAAAAAATTCTGTAATTGGGTCAAATGTTTAGTAACATTTTTTTTTTTTCAAGAATTTGGGTTTTAATAGATACTGGACACTATAATTAAAAAAGCATGTTTTTCTTTAAAATCTTTTCTACTAAGCTGTAGAAGCACAATGAAAAAAAAATCTTATAAGCATTAATTATTTATTTATTTATTGTAAATAAATTATTCTTTGATTAGTGTGTTTAAGAGTGATTTTGAAAAAGTTGGGAAATTAAGTTGTAGCTCTGGAATAAGAAGAAAATTGGTCATTTTTTCTGGAAGTGTTAGAAGTTCACAGAGAAAACACTTGCATTGGGTTGTGATACACATTAGCAGGACCCGTATTTTTATGCAGTAAAAATCCACAAAATATGCTGTAATAAAAGATAAAATATGCTGTGAAAAAATTCCTAAATATATAATAAAATGTCTAAAATATTCAGTTACACTGAAGTGAACTTAAACTTAAACATTCAACTTAAACTTAAAAAATAAGAAAGATTCAAAATTAAATAAAACCATTTCATTATTTTATTATAAATGAAAATAATTCAATATTCAAATGTTAAATAAAAATATATCTTTATTAATCATTAAAAAGAAGATATCAACAGATTTGATACACAGAATTGAATTGAAAGATACAGAATCAGCCAAATTATCAAATTGCAACTATCAATAGTGTATTCTATGGTAATGTACATTCATAAAAAAAAATTATTGAAAGAAACATGAATTCTTAACCCTAGAATGACAAACTGGGATGTGGAAAACTCCACAACATTTTCAATATTAATTTACTTTTATAAAAGTAGCTCTTTGGCCAAGTTTTTCATTTAAATAAATATCAAGCCTAGCCAGGCTAATTAGTCATTAGCACTACATTGTTGGGCTTATATCATTATTGGGAATTATCTTAAGTCATTATGGGTACCCCACAGCCCAGTGTGTTGTTTACGAGACTCTCCTTGGTGCCTTACACCACATTGTGCAGTTTATGCAACTGTTTCATGTCCCAATGTTTTCTTTGTTATTTTGAAACTTTGAATAATTCAGGTGTGGATTTCTAATATTATATTTGTTTATAAAAAAACGTGTTAGTGATATTTTCAATTCAGACAGTAATTTATAGAAACTATTTTTACTTTCACTTACCTATATATGTAATATATAGTAAGTGTAAGTATTGCAATCGTGAAAGTTTTCGAGTCTGAGTTTTCAACAGAAATACACGTTTTGAGTTACCCTGAGTCCAAATAACCAAGTTGCGCTGGTCCAAATAACTGGTCTGTTTGTGTGTGTGTGTTTTAACAGTCTAGCTCAAAAACGAAAAGTTGTACGAAAGTAAAATTGCATATTTAAGGTTTTTATATGCTTGGGATGTCACAGTAACTTTTTCGTCAAAATCGACTGACCATAAGTGGCCCTTTATATTATGGGCTAAACATATTTTTACAATTTTCTCGGAAATGGCTCTAACGATTTTGATTAAATTTATTATTTAAGTGTAAAATTAAGCAGTTTTAAATAAAATGTAGTTTTTATTCTAATTGACGTTCACTAGCAGGGCTTAAATGGCTAATTTTCAATATTTTCTTTCTCTAAAGTATCTTTAATTTTTTTTATTTGAAACAATTGACTGTTTCACATTAATCTCTAATATAAAAGATAGTTAAATATAAAATATGAAAGAATTTAATAGTTAACTAAAGGAGAAATAAAAAATCGTAACGGAGAATAATTGTAACTGATCATACCAGAGCTCGCTCGAAAGATTTTAACAGTCTTCCATACGCAACATGAGCTTAATATAATACGGACTCTGACAATATTATATAAATATATATATGCGGTTTTCATAAATGCTATTGTTGGTGTTATTTAATATTTAATTGTATATATTACTACAATATAAATATTAAAATTTATATATATAAGGGTACTTATACAGATAAAAATACCCATAATGTAATATAAATAATTAAAGCTTCTATAATTTTTACTTTCATTTCTCCTTTGCCTGAAAATACTTATTTTTGCTAAGAAGAGGGTTGTAAGTGAAAGTTGTGTGATGCCCACTGCACCTGATATTTTCTTTTTTTAGTATGGCAACTAGAAAAAAATGTATTCATCTCCTGAAGAAATCCATAAATTCTTATGGGAATTTGAAGATAAAGAAAAGATGCATGGAGCATATTAAATAATGATGGCACAGTAAGGTTTGATCAAATGTGTCATGTGTGTTAATAGCATAAAAAAAATGGAGATTGTCTTTCCGATTTTTCTTTGGAATGTTTAACATTGGTTGGTAACATGTAACATGTTCGTTGGTCACATAAATGGCTCCCAATATAGGTTTTATTATCTTTTTATATAAAAAAAATATTTTTTCCTTTATTATGTATATTTTTTACATTCCAAATATATATATTTAATTAATATAAACTCAATGTATTTTCAATTGAAAAATATTGATTCTTTTTTTATTTTTAGCGATGTAGATGTTAACTTTTTACTTTATATTAGTATATAAAATATATTCTCTTAGGTTACCTTGAATTTATATTTTTTTTTTTTTTGCATTCCTGATTGCTTAGCTTATTTCTGAAAAGTATTTGAGTCTTTCAGAGCATGACAATTAAATTTTATGATAATTTCAATCGTGAGATGTACCACACCTGAGAGTGTCAGAATGAGTTGACTTTTTAAGTATGTCATTCTAGGGTTAATTACTTAAGTGCATACATCATGAAATCAAAAGGTTTTATTTATTCATGAAAATATATATACATTTTTATATCTTACAAAATGTAAGCTTAATTAAACTCTAAACTCTACCTTTGTATACCTACTTTTTGCCTAATCCAGAAGACTTAGTTAGTTGCTTTCTATGTTTTAATACTTTAATATTATTTATCCATGCAGGTCCCTTGGACAGCAAATAAAGGTCTTGCACGACAGAACTCATTAGGTGCAGCTAGTGTTTGTACGAGTAACCTCAATCAGCAGCTCCTTGCACAACCTGTTCCCCAGCCGCAGTTGCTAAAAGTAATATTTAAAATTATTTATCTTGACTTTTGCATAGATAAATACTATGCTAATAGGTGTTGACTTAAGAGTTTAACACTTTTAAACCAAATATTTACCAACATGGATTTTTATAATTTTTTTTTTTAGGTTGGGGCAACACACAATTCAAGTTTAAGTATTCCTTTAAGGGTAGAAGACTGTAAAAGTGTAAATGTTGGAGCATTATGTGCTCCAACGGCACTTCCTAAGGTAAAAGAGCCCCCTCCTCTTGAGCCAGAGGAAGAGCCTATATTACCTGTGATTGAAAAAGTATTTTTTTTCCTTGAGCCAAAAGGATGTCTCAAAGAAAGAGAAGATTTTTCGTTATATGTATTCTCACCTGATAACAGGTAAAATCTAATCAAAATAATAATGTAATATTCATTTCTGTAATTATAAATACTTTTGGTTCACCGATAATTTTTAATTTTTTCAGGTTTAGAGAAGTCTGTAGAAAATTTGTTGAACAGAAATGGTTTGACAATGTAGTATTATTCTTCATAGCCCTAAATTGTATCACATTGGCTATGGAGAGGCCAAACATTCCACCCAGTAGTAAAGAAAGAATGTTTTTGTCCACTGCAAACTATGTGTTCACAGCAGTTTTTAGCTTAGAGATGTTTGTCAAGGTATGCTAAGCCATCAATAGAAAACAAATACTGTAGAACTGGTTTACTTTGCTCCTCAAGAAATAATTTTGTTCCAATAATGTCTTTTTTATTGAAGGAAGTTAGTCGACCACTCTATGTATCGTGATTGATAAATAGTCAGGACGCAGTCATTATAGGATTTTTATAGTTGCTGATATTTCAACCCAACATTGTGGAATCAGGGTATGTTAACAGTACTGACTGTGTTTAAGTATTTGCAGTGCTGGTAATAATAATGCTTGGGTAAAATATGTAATGCTGGTAAAATATGTAATGCCGGTAAAATATGTAATGGGTACTGCTGGAAAAATATGCTTGGTTTGAAACATCGGCTACAATAAAAATCTTAAATTTACTGCGTCCTGACATTTATCGCCCAACATCTTTTTTAATAAGTTAGATTTTTTATTTTGTAATTGGATTTTAGTACAGATTATTAAATAATATAGCATTTCCAAGGCAACTGTAAGGACTTCTATTTCAAATGTAACCCTTTCCAATACAAATCTAACCTTAAAGGATTACATTTTGAAATGGAAACGGTTACATTTGATTTGGAAAGGATTACATTTGAAGTGGAGAAGGTTATAATTGACTTAGAAATGCTATATTATTTAATAATCTGTACTAAAATTCCATCATATTCAAAATATGAATTTAAGTAATATGCTTGAAAATGTTTTTTGTTTTTTTTACAAATCATTGAAAAAACTAAACATATTCAATTTTGGGAACATTTAGTTGTTTTTTTCTATCTTTTTACACTTTACTTTAATTATTCAATTCCTTATAATTTTCGTTTTGATACTACATAATTTTACAATTCATTGTCATTTATTCAAATTAAAATAATATTTGCTTTAATTTGAATCCAAATGGGTTAAATGAAAAAATTGTTCCACAGTTATTACGTTTAATAAGATTTTAATAAATTTAAATGTATAAATTTTATTTTTCAACCTATATTTATTTCTCTATTAACTCTGATTTCTAATGTTTACTCAATAACGTCAATCAACTAAGACTTACTTTATTTCCCATGCTAATTTTATTTAAAATTTGTATTGATCAGGTTGTGGCAACTGGAATGTTTTATGGAAAAGATGCCTATTTTACTTCTGGTTGGAATATAATGGATGGCTTACTAGTTATAATTTCTATAATAGACTTACTAATGTCGTTGATATCAGAAAGCAGTCCGAGAATATTTGGAATTCTAAGGGTATTAAGCAGGTTCATTTCTGTTATTACCAATTAAAAATGTAAACATTCTAATCAAAAAGTGTCTAAACTTTCAGGTTTTCAGGTTACTTAGATCATTACGTCCATTAAGAGTAATTAATAGAGCTCCAGGATTAAAATTAGTTGTTCAAACTCTCCTATCATCATTAAAACCTATCGGAAACATTGTTCTTATTTGTTGTACATTTTTTATAATATTTGGAATACTCGGAGTTCAGGTAAACATCAAAAGTTATATGTATTTTTAAAAAAAAATTTCTTCTGAAAAAAAATCTAAATAATATATTCAGTTTAACATATAGGAAGAGCCTTCCTAATATTGAATTATTAATTACTTAAGAGTCTTATTATTTACTTCAATTTTTAATCTGACTAATTGGTCAGAAACAATGGATTCCTTCTTACAAAAATGGTTTTCAATTGAAGCTTGAGTACAAAAAAATTATATTTCAAAAAACTTTCACTTATCGACTATTTACACCGCAAATAAATAATACATTTGTATAAACCCCTTTTTCACCTATTTAGGCGAATGGATTATGATGAATGATGAATCAACGAAAGAGAATTTCATGGAGAAGTGACGGTGTTGATATTTTTAGTAGTGTAAACATTTGACACTCAGATTTCTTTTCTTCGAATAAGTATTTGCAACTTTAATCAAATATAACCCTGTTAATTGAAAATCTTTCAAATTTAGGTTCTGAGAGAATACTAAATTATATCTACAGAAAAATCGAATTATATTAACAGACAATTATATTATATTATAATTTATATTATATTATCAATCTCCATATATATTATTATTTATATAATATATTATAATACATTATATTAACAGACAATCTAATTATATCTACAGACAATAATATACCTTAATTGCCTCCTAGGGTAGGTGTTTAAATATAAATTAAACACCAGACAAGCGCATACATTGATTATCCTCATGAAGTATTAGAACATTGTAATTATCAATATTAGGGGAATACAAAGTACCTATTTTACATGTGATTCAGGTTTTGAATGATTAAATGATATCAATTGATAGCAGGCAGTTCTAAGATTTTTACTAGCATTGTACATTCTCATTTTATGTATTTCTAAAATGAAATTATAGAAATGTTTATACTGAACTAGTTTTAAAAGGTTATTGGTTAATTATAATTATTATTTTATAGATGTTCAAAGGCTCATTTTTTTATTGTGAAGGTCCAAATATTAAAAATGTTAAAAATAAAACAGACTGTTTAGCTATTCAAGGAAATCAATGGATTAATAGAAAATATAATTTTGATGATTTGGGAAAGGCTTTAATGTCCCTCTTTGTCCTTTCATCAAGAGATGGTTGGGTAAACATTATGTATACAGGACTAGATGCTGTTGGAGTTGACCAGCAGGTATATATCTTATAGAAACAACTATATTAATAAATTCTTATTTTTTATTTATTTATTATTTTCTTGGTATAATGATTTTTATATTTCAGCCTATCGAAAACTACTCTGAGTGGAGATTGCTGTATTTCATAGCTTTCATCTTACTTGTTGGGTTTTTCGTCTTAAACATGTTTGTTGGAGTAGTTGTAGAAAATTTCCATCGATGTAGAGAAGAACAAGAAAAAGAAGAAAGGGTTCGAAGAATGGCTAAACGAGCAAGGCAGATGGAAAAAAAGAGAAAAAGTAAGCTTAGCCCTAAGGGATTAAAACAACTGAGTTTTCTTTATTAAGTAACAGTTCTTTTCTTGAATATTCTATATTTTGTGTATACAAATATATCTTTTTTAATTTTATTTTATTTTAGATAAATCTTAATTAACTCATCTAATTGTATTATATTTTTCTAGGAATGCATCAGCCTCCATACTATACAAATTATTCAAGGTCACGTCTCCTTGTTCATAATGTTGTGACCTCAAAATATTTCGATTTGGCGATTGCGGCAGTGATAGGTTTAAACGTTATTACAATGGCCATGGAATTTTATATGATGCCTAAGGTAAAATCATGTAACCTATTATATATACTGCATTGATATTAATTAATCATTTTGATTGATAATTGTATATACATGCTAAGAAATTGTACTTTTCTTAGCTTTAAAAGGTAACTTTTTTTCATTGCTTAAGAACTTATAAATATATCTTAAACTAATTAAAACAAATTAAGAATGCAAAGTATAATTAAATATAAATGGGTAATTATTTTTTAGATACACATTTATCAATGAGCAATATAAACAAATCATATGTTCCGCATTACTCAGTGTGTAGTCTCCTGCATGATCTGTAGAAAATTTGTACACTTTTTTTTTTACCAATTCAGAAGCTTAATCCTTGTTAATACAAATAGATAAATGGATGAATTGTCTGCCTCTTACATATTTGATCCTTGGGTTTATTGTTGCTTTTGAATTGTTCTCTACAAGTGACTCTATCAAAAGGACAAAAAAAAAGTTCATTAAGAAATGGCAAAATCACTACAATATCTATGAAAAATAATAACCATTTATATTATTTTATATGGTTCATCGTCATGATTATATCATATTAATTTTTTGTATCTACTTGTATTGACTTAGTTATATTGATTTGGGCAATAAAAGACTTTTTGCAAGCTAAAGTTTTGTATTTTACTTATTTATTTATTTTTTTCAGGAACTGACTTATGCTTTAAAAATATTTAATTATTTCTTTACTGCTGTGTTTATTCTGGAGTCTATAATGAAGTTGGTGGCACTAGGTTTGAGACTTTACCTCAAAGACAAGTAAGTTTGATGCCTTAGAATTAATTAATCATAATTTAACATAAAAAAAAACTCCTTCTGCACCAACTTATTGATTGTGCTTTTCATTGAAATCCAACTCCTCTTGTATTATGCATCCTAGTTTAAAATATTTTTAAATGGAATATTAGACTTTAATTAATTGATTTGTATAGCCAGGAAAAAAATGTATATGGTGGCTGAGTTTTGATCTCATTTAATTAATACCCATTACTTTGCCTAATATTTTAGATTGAATAATAAGGCTATACTATGTCTACACTATATGCTATTCACTGTATACTGTTATTATATTATAAACACATATACCAACTTCTGCAAAGTGATGGTTTTTAGCAATATTTTAAATAGAAAATATCAGCCTTGTATAATAGAAAGAATATGAATTATTTTTATTTTTTTTTTTAAGAATCAAAGGATAAAAGGAGGATTTTGATTTTAAATTTATTGTTTATTATTGGTACAATAAATGTAATATATTTTGAAATGAAATCAAAACAGATTATATTTTATCATGGGATGATTCATTAATCAGCTCTTTAAATAAAAAACCACCATTTTTCAATATTGGTTTTTATGTTAATAAGTCATTAATCTTAGAGTTTAAACTCATTTCTCCTTTCAGGTGGAATCAGTTAGATGTACTAATAGTAGTTCTCTCGATTGTTGGAATCATTTTAGAAGAAATGGAATCTAACATAATACCAATAAATCCAACTATAATCAGAGTAATGAGAGTCATGCGTATAGCCAGAGGTATAACCATCATATTTTTAAAAATCTTGGATATCTTTTTAAGAACAAATTCATTTTTATTTTCTTATTTCATTTCAGTTTTAAAACTCTTAAAGATGGCAAAAGGAATCAGAGCTCTTCTTGATACAGTAATGCAAGCACTTCCTCAAGTTGGAAATTTAGGACTCCTCTTCTTCTTGCTGTTTTTCATTTTTGCAGCATTAGGAGTAGAATTATTTGGACGATTAGGTACATATTTATAAATGATTGAATATTGAATTTTAAAACATTACCAAAGAATAGTGTTTAGATTTTTTTTTTTTTTTTACCATCATTATCAAATGATTGAATATTGAATTTTAAAACATTACCGAAGAATAGTGTTAAGATTTTTGTTTTTTTTCACCATCATTACCAAAATTAAAATTTTCTATTATTTATCAAGACCTTTTTGTTTTAGTAATTAAGTCTATAGGTGATTAATAAAGATAGATAAATAACATTAATTCATATTTTTAAATAACATTTAATAATATGGAGATTATTCAATATGTAAATAACCAAATAACAATTAAATGTAAATAATTAGTTTTGACGGGAATATTGAATATTCTTTCTGTTTATCGGGGGATTAGGTTATTTACACTCCTGAATATTAAAACAAAACCCCGGCACTGGATATAGACTTTTTGAGGGTGTTTAACTGTTGTTGGGAATTCGGGAATCTAATACCTTTTGTGACACTGCCTGAGAAGAAACAATAAGAATACATATATGAAATGTGGGACTGAGTAAATACACTTTGAATGAATTGACTCACCTTGTTTATTATTCTTCAATTGTGAGGCCTATAGGACAAGTAAATAAAAGGACTATTCACTCCTGTCTAACAAAACAATTTATTTTGATAATTATAAATTAGTGTACAAAAATCTTATAACTGTAGGCTTGATATTCTTAGTCTTCAATATAGTAAGCCTCTCTTCCCAGATGACGTCTTCTCGTCTTCGTGTCCAAGCCTCAAGTGCCCTTCTCTCCCTCTCCCTGGCGTCTTTTCTGCAGCTGCTGCTACCTGACCGGACCTTCTTCATCGATTGTTTATCGATATGAGACTTTTCAATGCATTTGTCCACTGCACAATTGAGTACAATTCATCGTGCAACCTCATATTCCTATGTATTATATATTCCTTCTCATTTCCTCACACAATGTCACATAAAGGAGTAAATAGAGGGGGATGTCTACTACAAATATTTCATTTTGTTAAGTCCAAACACTAAATTCAGAAAAAATTAAGTCCTTGGAAATTATTATATTTATGATTTTTTTTTTTTAATTCCTATACAATTCTAGTTATATGACTTCTGCAGTTTTTAAAATACAATTAATCTATTTATATCAAAGATATGATTCTTTTACATGGAATAAAATTCTTCTAATCCTTAGTAATGTTGAAAGCTGCAGTTTTGTAGGTACAGTATTTTAAGATTATTTTCTCAAGTTACACAGTTACATGATATTGTTTATTGAATAACCTCGGAATTTCATATAATGCCCATTTCACCCTTATATATCAAAATTCTTAATAATAGTATGTGAAAATAATTACTCTTCCTTAATGTCATGCTGAGTTATTTGCCATTAATACCTGTTTTCTTTACAGAGTGCAGTGAGGAACATCAGTGCCAGGGCTTAGGGGAGCACGCTCACTTCTCAAACTTCGGGATGGCATTCCTGACCCTGTTCCGGGTCGCCACTGGTGACAATTGGAACGGGATCATGAAGGACACCCTGAGGGACGACTGTGACGAGAAGCCAGACTGTGTTAAGAACTGTTGCGTATCTGGCATAGCTCCCATATTCTTTGTTATATTTGTACTAATGGCTCAATTTGTACTTGTTAATGTGGTAGTGGCAGTCTTGATGAAACATCTTGAAGAATCCCACAAACAGGTTAAATAACAATGAATGTTATATTATATCATAATTTATATATAAGATATTTCTCTATAAAGATAGCGTAATTCATGTATCTTAAACTATCGATTAATACAGTTGACTCTCACTAATCTAAACCATTCCAAAATCTAAACAACTGCTTTAAAAAAAAATTGTAGATTTGATTTTATGTATTTAGTACATATATACATATATTCAATAACACGGTATTATCAACACATTCTTTTTGTCCTGAGCTTTAAATAATCTAATTAAAAATAACAAACTCTTTTATTTAAAATAAAATCCAAGCTGTGTTCATAATAAAATTTGGAAGCATAAAATTAGCCTTTTCATTAAATTAAACTTAAGTGCAAAATTATAATGGTAGTTTGTGCTATTCTTCTTATTGGAAGATGTGGTCAGAGGCCTTGAAAAAGATGATTTTATTCTCCAAACAAACGGAAATTTCAGATTCTTTCACAAGTAAATAGTTAAAAAATAAATTTCTGAACAATGATTAATTGTTATAAAATATTTCTTTTTAAATACATTTATAATTTTGGTTTATTATTTTCTATAATGGACCATTCTAATTGTTAAAAAATAAAAAACTTAACCCATCCTAAAAATTTGAGGTTTTACGTTTCATGATACATAGAACTTGAAAATCAAAAAAAAAAATATTTGCCTTTCCGCCCTCCGAGGCCTTTCTCTGAGACTACTGGACTGATTTCATTGAGATATAGAATCACAGTCTGAAAGCGCTGGCTCAGGATCGGGAGGCCCTGGGTCGGGGCACCTCCACACTGAGAGGCACTGAGGAGGATGATAGAGAAGAAGAAGGAATTAAAGTTAGAAGAACCCAACGATGATCCTCCTATCTTTATCATCCATATAATAGCATTACCATCCACCTTTTCTTTTTAGATGGCTGCCAAAAAACGTGTGTTGGTATAGACTGTAGCTCCTAAACAAATGTACCAATTTAAATTAAACTTGCCTGAAGTCTTCTCCTCAATGCCTTTTGAATTATGTATAGAACATACTTCACTGAAAAGAAATTAGAAAAATATACAATTTTTTGTTGATGTTGTAGATGGTTTTCTACAAATTCACTAAATTTCCAAAAAAAAAAAAAAAAAAAAAGTTATCTTTGAAATTGGACAGTTTAGTGCAAAAATGTGCCTATCTAAATTTTCTTTATATGTTCTTCTGCAAACCTTATATCATTTTTTTATTTTTTTTTTATTTTTTGAAAGTATTATATCAACTGAAGCAGTGTTGTCTACTGTTCTTAATAAATTACTAAAAATGATATGATGAAACAAAAAAATATATATTTAGGACAAAATATTGCCCAATTCCTATAAAGATTCCTAATAAGGAATCTCCTTTTATTTATTTTTATGTTACAAGGAAAGTAATATTACTTTTGATGTATAATTGTTTGGAAATAATAAACCGTTGTGCAATATTTTGCAGCATTTTTGTTTTTAAATTGATTTGTTGTGTATGAAATGATCTTTTTTACTCGTTCGGTAATCAGAAGTTTTTGCTAATCTGAACCTCCTTTGTTTTAATTGGTTCAGATCAGTAAGAGTTTGCTGTATCCTTCTACAAAATTCTGTTAAGGACTATATTTTACTTTGTTTTTTCTCTTATAAGTTTTAGTTTAACATTATTCTGCTCTACTGTTTCTAAAATGCTTATCTAAAAATCCCTAATAGTCATAGGAGACTGGGGTACTGCCAATTTCATCAGGATTTTAATAGTGTTTCTAGATATAAATTTTTTCTTAAATAGATTTTTGTTGTTCTTAAATAGTTTTTGTTGTTCTTAAATAGTTATTTGTAAAATTCCTATATGCTGGTACTGATAATGCTAGGGTCTGGCAAGTTTAGTTATTTTTGTGTCTTTTATTCAACCCCAAAATAATCAATACTTATATTGCTGGATGCTCATAAGAATCCCTTCTTCTTCATTTGAATGACATATTTTATGAAACTATTTGGTCCTATAGGTAGTAATGGTGTGTGGAGAATAACAAACCAACATAGAATTAGGGGAACTGCATAAGACCCCTAAAATTATTAGAGTTATAAAGATTGGTAGTTTCCAGTGGGCTGGCCATATTGCAAGGATGAAACCAGATCAGATACCTCAAAGGATACTGATTATAAAAGTGAATACCACCAGAAGATTGGGAAGACTCCATTTGTGATGAATGGACAGTGTGTGAGATCCATCCTTGTTATTCTAAACTGGTTGGCAGCAGTAATCTACAGAGATGGTATGCACACCAAATAGCAAAAGACCTACACTCTAAAAGAGTTGTAGTGGCAAGATAGAGGAAGAAAATAACTAGTGGAAAACCTCTTTTCCTTTATTCTTGGAACTTTTGGTTTTCCTTATGGAATCCAAAAGGATAAATATTTAATTGAAAAATTCCTCTGTCTCTTTATTGAATCCAAACACAGTAGGCTATATCATAGCGGTGCACTTATTGGTTACAGTCTGATATGTAGGGAACCCTGGATATGGTCTCCATTCCTTATCTAAATAAGTGGTAAGTTCCATCTGCTATCACTACAAATTTTAAGGTTTTTTTTAAAGTCTGCTATGGTCTGTAAGTACTCCATTGATGAATTTTAGTTTACTTCTATTTAGACCAATCATGCTCTTAGATCTAGAAGTTAAGTATTTCTTTATTGATCGCTGGGCCTATTTAAGACCAATGCATTTTCTCCACTTGTTGCCTGAGTTTCACCCGGTCCCTTACAGGATCCCCTTACACTATTGATGACTGCTAATATCTATTGAAGGTTTTGGTCTTTGAAAAGAGAGCTCAGCGCTGTCTTTAACTAACTATTTGGTTGCTTTTACTGTCTTTGTCTTCTAGAGTGCGCTGTATTGTTAAAAATCTATTTAATTATTACCTTATAACTTACAAAAACTATGTGAGTAACTCTTAAGAGTGAGTAATCAATTATGTGTAACTAAATTAGTGAATGTAATGTTACAAAGTTTTTCCCTTGTGTATTTTTGTTAGCATTGCTTATAAAATGCTTCTTTTTATCTAGATTTAAAATAATAAAACAATCACATTTAATAAATTAAATATGAATTAAATCTAATAATGAAATAATTTCCAGTTGGAAGATGAAATGGATATGGATGATGAACTAGAAAGAGAACTAGCCCAACAAATGGAAGAAGATGAAGAAGACATTTGTCTTCAACTGGCTATCGAACAAGATGCGATTCATAGGCCCTTGGCTAAGGTCCTCTCACTTCCAGCTAATTTCACATTCTCTGGAGATAGCCCATTGTCTACATCACCTAATAGTAAGTTTGTCTCATAACAATAATTATTGAAATGTAGTGGCTTCATATTTAATAATATGATATTCAAATGGCCATCTGTTCACTTGCCAAACAATCCTATGAATTGTGTATGTATTTGGATTGTCCAAGCGCTTGTCTTTGTTCTTGTAAGTTGATACAGATGATATTTCTACTCTGCGATTTGTAAAGGAAGGTTTTTTTAATACATCTTAGTGTTAAATTGCTTATTAAAGAATAATATTGCACTATAGAGAAACAGGTGATTGATTGAAGGTTACAAACGTAATTTATTTCTCTCTCCAAATTCTATTGAATTATCACAAGTTTAAGTCAATTAACTGCATGTTGATTTCCTTTATCTCTTCCATATTCGTGAGTTAAATAAGTGCAATCAATTGAAGTAAAATTACTGGTGTAGCGGATTCTTCCGCTAAAAATGACGGAAACTTCGGCTTCAAACGATTCACCAACTGAAGTCAACCACGATAATGCACCAGAAGCTATGTCCTGGGAAGTTGTGTCTGGACGAAAACGACATGTAGCTTCAGACAGAGATCCACGTCATAAACAAATAAAGGTTAGTGATACTATTATTACTAACAATCGATTCGAAGTTTTATCAAATACTCCGGAAGATAGACAGCCAGCAAATAATAATCCCATTATTATTAGACCTCCACCTATTCACATAAACGATGTGAAAGACTACACGGCATTAGTAACCTATCTTCACAATGAAGGTGGCCCTAACAGTTTCAGGTTGAAAACGTCTATGAGAGGAGTCAGCGTGTATCCAGAAAACGCAGAAATATACCGTAGGTTAGTGACCAGTCTTAGAAGGGGTGGAGCTGATTTTCACACATATCAACTCCCGGAAGATAAAACGCCTCGAATAGTTATTAATAATTTACACCACGCCACACCTCCAGCGACCATAAAACAGGAACTTGCCAACTATGGTTACGAGGCAACCAACATCGTAAATGTTATATCAAGATTCAAAACACCGTTGCCAATGTTTTTCGTTGATGTGTCAAAAGCAACGTTCAATGATAAAATTTTCGACATTGAATTCCTGTATTACACACACGTGAAGATCGAAGAGCCAAGGAAAAAAAGGATCATTCCGCAGTGCGTACGTTGTCAGCAGTATGGCCATACCAAGACGTACTGCAACCACCAGCCGAGGTGTGTAAGGTGTGGTATGGGTCACGAAAGCACTTCCTGTACAAAGACTCGAGAAACAGTCGCAAAATGTGCGAACTGCCAAGGACCACATCCTGCTAACTACAGAGGTTGCGAAACTCTGAAAGAGCTTAGGAAGACCCGCACAAGAAACCATACTCTGCAAAGGCCTCCTAGAGTTCAACCCCCACCACCAGAACTACACGAGTTCCCACCACTGCATCAGCCTCAATACCCTCATCCGATTCCCTCAGGACCAGAACAACAGCAGCAGAGACAGCAACGAAAGCCAGCACCGGCAACAAACCAAGAACAAAGGCCTAAAGGTATGAGTAGGGGCATTGCCCAAACGCTCCCTACTATTGAAACATCCTCCGGTGATATCATACATTTGATTAGCGGTCTCTATAACCTCATACAGCCCCTCTTCAGTCTTCTACAACAGCTATCTCAGGCTACTCTCGCTCTTACCCAAAAATATGCCCCGTAATCAGACGACTGTGGGCTCCATGTCTATTATACTATGGAACGCAAACGGACTGAATCAACATAGAACCGAACTAGACATATACTTACACGAGAAACGCATTGACATTGCACTAATAACAGAAACACATCTGACACCACATTCTAAATTTTACATCCGTGGTTACAAAATCTACAGAACTGACCACCCAGATGGAACTTCACATGGAGGCACTGCCATAATTATCAAAACAACTCTAAAACATAATCCTTTACAATTACCCATAACACCAGAGATTCAAGCTACAGCCATTACACTATCAACACAACAACAAAACATTACTCTTGCTGCGGTTTATTGCCCTCCGAGGTATGTTCTGACACCCATGATGTTTAGTAATTTCTTTAAACGTCTTGGTAGATGCTTTGTTGCAGGAGGCGACTACAACGCCAAAGATCAGTTCTGGGGATCCAGACTATCTACTCCAAGAGGAAGGAATCTTAGGTATGTTCTTTATGAGCTTTCATTAGACACAATATCACCTAATTCACCCACGTACTGGCCAACTTCTAGACGGAAAACACCAGACTTACTCGACTTTTTCATAACTAAAGGACTCCGAACAACACCTCACACTATAACAACGAGTTCAGATCTTTGCTCTGATCATTCCCTTTTGCATTTGGTATTGTTTGAAGAGCCTTGTGAAGCTACAAAAAAACTGTCCCTGATCAATGGCATAATGGATTGGGACAGGTACAGGAACCAATTGGACACTGCTCTCTCTGTTCCTCTATCCATTAAAAACGAAGCAGAACTTGAGGATGCCGTTGAATACTTCACACGAAATATCCAAGAAGCAGCATGGTCTTCATCAGTAGCAAAACCTCAAAAATATGAGTTCCTACCAATGTACCCACAATACATAAGGGACTTGATCAGAGCGAAGAGGAGAGCTCGCAAAATATGGCAGACTGACAGACTCCCATCAGATAAACGAACTTACAACAGACTTAATAATGAACTCAAGCGACAGATTGGAAAATTCAAACGAACAACCTATGACAACTACATCAGAAATCTCTCAACCGACGATGGAAGCTTGTGGAGACATACCAAAAACCTTATTAAGCATCGTGAAGTGTCAGCACCCCTTCGAAGACAAGATGATTCCTGGGCCGTGACGGACGGAGAAAAATCAGAACTCTTTGCCGAATATCTTTCTTCTGTTTTTGTACCACACACAGACTTCACTAACACTGTGCACGATAACAACGTACTAAACACTTTAGACATGCCCTTACAACTAACTTCACCTCCTATTTCATTCACACCTTCACAGATTGCTGAACAAATCAAAAAGTTGCCTAAAAGAAAAGCTCCTGGACATGACTTGATTAACGCTGAAGTGCTCCAACAAATGCCTAGAAAAGCTCTAGTGCTTTTGACAACTATTTATAATGCAATACTGAGGACAACTAAATTTCCCCTACAGTGGAAATACTCACATATAATAATGATTCACAAGCCTAAAAAGGACAAAAACTCACCTTCCTCATACCGACCAATCAGCTTACTACCTATCTGTTCCAAAATTTTTGAAAGCTTACTGAACAAAAGACTTGTTGATATACTAACAAACACCCAAATAATACCTGACCATCAATTTGGATTTAGGGCACATCACTCAACTATACACCAACTACATAGAGTAACGGACTACATATCTACAGCACTAGAGCAGAAAGTATATGCAACTGGCGTATTTCTGGATGTTGCTCAAGCGTTTGACAGAGTTTGGCACCAGGGTCTTCTCTTTAAACTCAAGACAATACTCCCACCTACATATTATCTAATTCTACAATCCTTCCTTTCCGATAGATTTTTCTCGGTCCGACACGGGTCAGAACTATCTTCCATCAGGTCTATCTCAGCAGGAGTACCTCAAGGTTCAGTACTCGCTCCACTACTCTATATCACATACACCCATGACATACCTTGTAGTCCCAACATTTTAACAGCGACATATGCAGACGACACAGCAATTTTAGCAAGACACAAAAATCCAACATACGCCTCACAGACCCTACAACAGTATTTAACAAGATTACATGACTGGTTCAAAATTTGGAAAATCCGACTAAATCAAGACAAATCACAGCACATCACATTTACGCTTCGACATGAAACATGCCCTCCAGTTTTCCTTGACGATACACAGATTCCACAGACAGACACCGTTCACTACCTTGGTCTGACATTTGACAGAAAAATGACGTGGGGCCCACATATAATCAAAAAACGGAAAACTTTAAATCAAAGATTAAGAATTCTGAGTTCACTTCTTTCAAAAAATTCAAAACTAAAACTTAGACAGAAATTGAACACATACAATTACTTACTAAAACCTATTTGGACTTACGCATCACAGATATTTGGAACTGCTAAAAAGACTCACTTAAACAAACTTCAAATCTTTCAAGCAAAAACATTCAGAACAATTACAAAAGCACCTTGGTACGTTAGTAACATAACCTTACATACTGACCTCCATATGCCGACTGTTAACGAACACATACGTATTCATTACAAACGATTCCATGACAACTTACAAGGACATACTAATACACTTATAAATGACATGGCCACTACGAATATGCCCGGTAACGTCTGTAGGAGACTGAAGAGGAGCTGGATGAGGGACCTCCTCGCCTAATGTGGATATCACGCCGAGTGAGGTGCCGCTGGGCACTGATCCTCCTCATGCCTTTCATGACAATTCTATTAATCAATCGATCTCACATTCACTGGTTGTCATTATCATTATGACAGGTGTGAATAAAACATTAAAGCTAAAAAAAAAAAAAAAAAAAAAATATTGCACTATAATTTTCAAATATTTTTTATTTGTGGGTGCCTAGATGACCAAGTAGGCTAAGGTGCTTGCAATAGTTAATCAAAGTTAAGCAAAATGGAGTGTAAGTACTTGGATGGCTGAACATATTCTGAAGAAAACCATGGTGCCCGAGATTCCTCCCGCTCAGGGTTAGTGAGGACCACCAGCCTACTGATGGCAACTAGAACGGACCCGGTGTAGGAATGATGACCTTACCCTGTGTACTTTTCAGAAATCATGATGTGGAGGAGAGGAGATGGCAGTAGCCCTTGACTTTTGGTGCACGGACAATCTGTTTCTAGGAAAGAAATATAGCTCCTCGTGCACTTGCTGGGTTGGGTATCTCCTTCCTAGTTATCAGTTCTACTGAAAGCAATATACGTCTCTAACAAGATCATATCTCAAGGTCAAAGACTTACATAGTCTATAGCACACACTAAAAAAAAAAATAAAATAAAAATGTATTTGTTGTACCATTTCCAAACTCCAGCATGTTACCAACAAAACTATTAGGCAGAACTTTCAGCAACAATAAACTATGCTGTACAACATAGAAAAAAAAAGGTTGAAATGACCATTTACAAAGAATGACAACGGAACGATATAGAAAGGTGAAAAATAGGAGATCCTAGGAAATCAAAACCTAGGAAGAGATGGTTGCAGAGTGTGGAGTAAGGCATGGCTGCCAGAGGTCTTCGAGAGGGAGACTGGCTAGATCAAAACAAGTGGCAAGAACTTTTTGGAATGATGAACAACTAAGTTGTAAAAAATCATAAATAGAAATGTTTTGAACTAGTGGCTAATTTATAGTTGTATCTTTATAATATCTCATATTTTCTGTGCTAGTAATAGATAATTATGTTACAAAATTAATTGGACATATTTTCATTTTTAAATCTTGCTCATGTTCACAGTATGTTGTTGAGATATAATACATATTGTGAGGTAAACAGATGGGATTGTCGAAATATATACTTAGTTATTTGGCATTAATTATTATTCTTGTATTATCAACGTTACATGTTAACAAGTTTACGTTTCGGAATATTTACTCCCATCTTTCGAACTACAATCCCAATGATCTTGTGGATGCAAGGCTTAAAAATAATAATAATGTGCTCCATCGTCAGTTTCTAGTTCATGTTATAAAAATCTGTGCATATACCATCTAGAGCAACATCTTGCTTTAGACCAATAATTGGGTGTCTGTCCTTCCCAGAAAAAAGAAGAAGTATATACTGAATGGGTGCTTGTGAGAGGTTACTGTGTTATATGAGCAAAGTCTGACTAGTTAGTGTTTGAATCGTTAATAGAATATATTTGACCAAACTTGTTCATTGTTAACTCTATCACTCCTTATACATGTCCTGTTAACTAAACTAATATCTACATAACATTTGAATTCAGATTCAAAAAGAAGGGGTTCGTCAAACTCCTGGAGAGATGTCAGAGAAAACGCTCTGGCAAAGAACTCTCAAAGAAGACAGACCTTACAAGGGCCGCTGATTCCTCCGGTGATCCCACCAGCCTATCCAGCTGTTGGCTACACTTCAGTATATACTACTCACCATGACAGAGAAAGAGTAATTAACAATTCTTTATCATCTTAATAACTTAAAAATAGTTATTTTATAAATTACTTTTACATAAATTTAGATCTTTAAATCTAACACAATTAATTATCTATGCCTATTATTAATTTTTAGATTCTATTTCAGCTGAGAGTGACCAAACAAGAATGTATTGATGACGATGAAAGTCCTGTTGAAATCCCAAGTCATTCAAGGTTGGTATCAGAGTCTGATGCAGGCATTTCTCCAGAATCACCTGGAGTTATTTTAGTTCCTCCCCCATATTCAGAAACAACCCAATCTACTCAACAAGAAATAGAACTTATAGATACGAGGCAAGAAAAGTTACAGGTTGGTGATTTTAATCAGTACTTGATTTTATGTATGAGACATGTCCAGAAAGCTAAAGTTCTCAATTTTTCTATTGTATAAAAAACATGTATACTAAAAAATCATAATGATTTAGAAGATATATTTGTTACATATTTTTCCATTTAATCACCTCCCCAATCCATGCAGATTTTATTAAGTCTTGGCACAAGTTTTTTGACGTCCTCATAGAATTCCTCATTATAAGTTTTTAAACATCAGTATTTATAATTCATGCTCTGTACATTTTCCATACCAATTCATGGTTTTTATTTAACAAGATTATTATGTCATTAACTGCAAATACACTTAGCCATTAATATATATTTTACACAATTTATATATCCTTCAAATTTATATATTTACCATTTAATTATTTATCAAACATTGCTATATGATTTAAAACTGTTAACACTTTTAAACTTTTCATCTTTTGTTAATAACAATATTAATTTTAATGCAGGTGAGTCCTGGTGGACAACGAGTTAGAATACGGTTATGTGATACAAGAATGGATTCTGGGATAGGTGATGAGAAACATTCTCAAGAATCCCAGCCTTCATCTGGAAACCCTTATGAGCGGGAAGCAGAAATTACAATAGACCAAGTCATCGTTCATAATCAAAGTGTATCGTAGTGTTTGTGGTCCTATTAACAAAAACTGTTCTGTGACTCCATCAGGGATTTCTTCCATTCCACTTATCCACAGATTGTAAAATAGATTAGCTTAAATCAGTTCTTCACCGACACTGTAAGCTTTCTAAAGATCAGAGGCAGTCTTCAAGAGGGAAGTGTTGGCCTAAGGTAGTAATCTGTGGATTTAAAAAAAAAAAAAGAAAAAAATCACAATATTTAAATAAAATTAAAAAAAAAAAATTAATAAACAAAAAATATTCGATAGAAATGTAAGAAGTCTCTGTTATGGGAATGTTTTTTTCCTATTTCTGATAAGGATTAAAACAATTTTAGGCTCAAATGTACAAAGGCCTTTAATTTAATTTCCTATCATCTGTTAAAAATCTAACAGTAGGGTTTAACCGTGTCTGTTAGTTCAACAAGTCACTGTTGTAAGTGTCACCTTAGTTAATACATTTATAAATAGTTATAAAATAATTCATAGATTTTATCGATATAAATTGATGTCGGAGGATATAAGTGAGAAATCAACTGAAAATATAAGTCAGAAAGTTAGGTAATGGAATTGTTTGAAATTCATTTTTTTTCCTTCGCTATTTGAGGAATGCTATTGCTTTTTTTTTTTTTTTTTTTTTTATTAAATTCGTTTTTCTATTAAACTGCGGCCTAAATTTTTATTATCTTGTTCTATTTTCATTGAGTCTATTCATCTGTCCCAGTTATACATTTTTTTTTAGCTTCTGATCAAAAATCACAGTAATGTTGCAGTTAAAAAAAAAAAATCACATAAAATTCAAAACATATATCTAATTATATTTATTTAAATTAATAAAACCGATGAAAATAATAATTAATTGATGTTAATAAGGCTTCTAGCTTCTGCTTGAAAAATTTTTTATTAATATTACAAGTAAGTTTTAAAGGATTTTTTAAAATGAAAGGTGAGCCGTTATTGTGTAAAATGATTGTAAATTGATTACTCAAAGTGCTGTCCATCACTAGCCTCTGTTTTTCCATCATTTCAGGCAGCATATAAATTCAGTATTAAAAGAATCTTCTTTAGGAAATCCAAGCAGAAATTCTGCTTAGAATGGCCATGAGTGATTGAAGCAAGTAGTGGTCAGAAGAAGCAATATCTTGAGAATATGTTTGCGTGGGGTTGAATATCCCATTTGAGAGTTTTCAAATAGATTTTGACTGGCACTACAACGTGTGATTTAGAGTCGACATTCTGAAAATCCACTCTGCTGTGTCTCTATTCATATTACGACCTTTTCTTCTTAAATTCTCCATTAAATAATAGATAGATATCTATTTCCCATAATGGTTTCATTTTGCTTCAGCAGTATACAATATAGCTATATCCAACTGATCAAATGAAGTGTGGAGCATGAATTTTGGTCAGTGAATGCTTGGATTCATTCTTGATGTTGATACATGACTGGGTAAATCTCACAATTTGCTATGTTTTAGATTGTCGTATTGAGTCCACTTTTCATCATCATTTAGAGTTTTAAGAGAAAAACTCTTCAAATGTTTATGTTTTTCAGAGAAAAATCAAAGAACAGAGAAGAATTGCCTTTTTACACCATTTTACTTTGATTTGTATCGCATCCAATTTCCTTGATTTTGGATCATTCCCACAGCGTTAGTTTAGAAACTCTCAATGATTCTTCAAATCTTCTTTCCTTTGATGTAACTCTTTGTTCATAATGATTTGCATCCTGTTTCTTCAAACATTTCTGACATTTCTTATCTTGAATACCAAGATCACTTTGAACCATCTTAGCTAGTAATGGTACTGGGGATGATTCAGGTGGGAATCGAATCCACAATGCCTCATTTGAAAATCAATTACTGTCAACTGATTTATTTTTGTTGAGTGAAAGCAGAAAAGTAAAGCTTCCCACAAATTTTGTTTTATTGACACAAAATTAGACATATTTGGTATTACAAAAATCTAATCAGCCGCAGTATTGGGTTGAGCAAGTCTCATAATAAGCTTGGTCAACGATATAATACTCCTGAGTGTCCTCGGCTTATTCTAATACTTACCCAATATTGGAACAAATTATATGCTGTGGAGGGGGACAAAGTATATCTGAAATGTACAAATAAAAATAATGAAGAACAACAATATATATTAAGAGTAGTTGTTTATTAAATCAGACTTATGGGCAAGAAGCGAGGAGAAAATAATTAATGAAAAAAGGTCAAGACTATAAGCTAATGAAAAATCTGTGTTGTTTACCTTTTGACAAAATCACACCACAAAATAAAAGTTAATGATAAACTTTATGATGAACTTTAACATGAAGGTAGTCAGGTTATGGTCCATAAAACTTACTTGTATCTCTCGCTACTATTTTATTTGAATTTGTATTAAAACTCAAATTTTATTTGCAACTGAATGCATGAAAATTTTATCATCTCTTTATTATTGATCTTTCTAAAAGTTTAGAAAATTATTTTTATAAAAAAAAAATAAAAAAATAAGAAACTCATTAGTATCTTAAACTTGCTTATATTTCTGTAAAGTAACAAAGCAAACTCTGTCAATTAAATTGTGAGTATATATCAGTATTGAAAAGGTTATTTGATTTGGTATATGTTTTTTCTTTCAGTCTATGTAACAAATTATTTTTTGCTTTGTGAAATTTAAAGGTCTAGTTTTAGCACTATTTTTAGGAAGAATTCGAAATATTTGTATATTGTAAGTTATTTATGAGCTGGTCTCAGAAGAGTATGTAGATGTATTTTTTGACTAGTGTTTCGTCTTGCTAAGTAAATGATGTGAGTTTAATGTATAGTAAGTGAAAGGGAATAATATACTATATTTTAACATTATTATCCTTTAGTTGAGACGGAATTCTGTTTTTTTTTATTTTGTTTTTTTTTTCTTGATGTTCATTCTTATTTTGAAGTTTAAATACTAAGAAAACTTATCTAATATCTTTTTTCATGCATAATGTTCGTGTATGACGAATCCTTCATAGATCATTTATGATTATATTAGTTTTAGCTACTGGTACCATGACTTAATTCTGACGGGTGGTACCTTCTATTAATTAGGAAATAAAACAGGGTTCAAACTTCACCTTACTATTGACCACTGCATTCCAATTTATCTTTTAATAAAAATGAAAAAAAAATTGTTGAACAATGATATTAAAAATATATATAAAAAATAATGTAATACATTCGATGTGAACTTATTGGCTTTCAATTTATTTTTACATGTTCATATGTAATACATAATTGATCATTTTTATATTCAGCTGTTAGACACATAGGTGAGCGCAGGAAGAAATTGCAAAAATACTAAATTAAGTAAGTAAATAAGAAATGTCAGACAGTATTTTTATAAAATAAAAATTAAAAGAATGTTTGGGTACAAAATATAGACAATGAAGAAAAAGCTTGATAACAAATTTTATTTTTCTTCCTTTTTATTCATTATTCAAGTTGAAGATGTTTTAAATTTATTATTGTTATGATCATCTCATGTATTGATTTTTTTGTTCTATATAAACTTAATTATTTTAAGTAATAATTTTGTATTTAATTTAATTGTGATCACTAATTATAATGATGAATACTGTACCCATTCACTAACATTCATCAACTTATTTTTGTTTTGTGACATAAGATTTATTTATGTTTCAGTTAGACTATAAGAAAAAAGTAAATTTCACCTCATTGAATCACTATTTATATCATCAGAAAAAAAAAATCAATAAATTATTGGAATCAACTAAATAACATTAAATAATTGGCAAACATTAAGTACAATGTTAACACAGGGCTTTTTCAATCTGTAACATAATTAAAATAAACCACTTGGGATTCTTCAAAACCATCTGAATATATTTATTAGTAAATAAATATTTTTATTCATTGTTTTGTTATAAATTGTTTGAAAAAATATAATTTATTTACTTCAATAATATGGAACTAATACTGCTGTGTTTAAAAATACTATGCTAAGAACCAGTTTGTAGATAATAATTGATTTATAATAGACTATTGAGTGTAAAATTCAATAGATATATTTTTTTTCTTGCCTGTTTCCTTTTTTTCTCTTTTGCCGCATACAAACAAACATGTAATAGAAAAGATATATTTTGTAACTTTTTTTCTACAATGTATAAAGTTATTATTAAATTTAAATATCCTAGATATATATTAGAATAATACAAACTGATAGTTGAGTGTTGTGTTCACCTTAGACCCAGACATGTTGTAACAATTTGTAATAATTTCTTTCTAAATATTAGGTAATGTATGATAAAGTATTGTGAAATGTACCCTTTTTTCACCCTCAAATGATAATTCATGCAAATTGTTACAACTTCCATAATGCTTACATTAACCTAGAAGACAATCTGTGTAGCTTCTATTTTTCTGCCTTCGACACTGTTGTAAAAGAAAAAGAAAAGAAAATGGTAAAAGTCAATTTTCATAGTCTACATAAATAGTGAAAACATGATAATAAAAAAAAATGCAGGGTCCTTTTTATATAAACTGTAGGTACTCTTTATCATACACAAATGTTTTATAAGAATAACATTTATTCTTTTAAGGATTAAGGAATATATGTTTGAACATACAATCTTGTACATGGTTCATTGAAAAAAATAATTTTTTTTGTAATATTTGTATAAAAAATCAATTGTTCAAAATTTCTTTAATAATGTATTTTAGACATTCCATAATTTATTGATAATATTCTACTAAAATTTTGTTAGTAATACGTGAATATTTGATTCTTTTTATTAAAGCAAATATTTGAAATTCAGTCACTATCTAGGTAGACTATATAATCAACAGTGTTCCTTAGTTAGCCTTATCTACACTAAGACTGTTAGTTGAGTAGTCTTTATAGTCTTAAATAGTACAGTTCACCTGTATAATCTCATCATGTCTTTCTATTCTTTGAATGTTAAGTATGAGAAATCTCTCCCATCGGGACACTGATTAACTCATGACGAACATTCTCTGTCTCATATATTGTAATAATATAGAGCCTCATATTTCAAATATCTATTGTTACTCATAAAGTTGTATTTACATAGATCAGTCTAAATTATAAGATATTTCTTTATGACTAGTAATAGGTGGGGCCATAATTATTTATTCAATCCATTAGAAAATATTTTCATTGAAGGCATAAGAAAGAAATGACCTTATAATGAAATAAATAGCATCTAGAGATGGAATTAGTTGGCAGGACCAGTCCAAACTATGACATGTTACATGAACTTATGATCGAGTTGAATCTTATAAATATCGATGGTTTTGTTTTTGTATATATATATATAAAACAAAATATTAGAAGAATAAATGGTCATAAGTTACCTGTTACATCTTGTTTGTATTTTAAAAGTGTATAAGCAATACAGTTACATCTTATTGACAGTGTAACTAATTTTCGAAACTTCAATGTTACCACGTTTTAATTGTCTGATATAACCTGAGTGTATGGTATTCTGTGGTAACTAGAATTTAGTTTTGTTAATTGTAAAACAAAAATGGAATGAGTGATTAGTGCATGATTCTGTCTGATAACCTGTCTCCGATTGTCCAAATGTATTTATATCATTCCATTTTTGCATAAATAAAATCGTATGTATGTGTGCATATCGCTATATACTTGCAAGAGTATGTATATGGGTATATGTACTATATCTAATGTATGTGAATTGTATTCTTAGCAAAATCTGTGATATTCTAATTACTGTACAGATGTATATGCTTCTGTTGTTAGATACCAATGTTACCTTGTTAAATATTTTATGTTCCCTTTTTATTTTGTAAATTACTGTACTCTTCTATATAAACTGGCGTGTGATGTCAAAATAAAATAGTTATTCTTACCTAAAATAGTTTATATTTCTTCCTTATAGATTAATGGTTTAAAAAGTAGAAACGAAAAAAAATCCATCACTTTAGGAACATTTTGTACTCTTAAAATTTGTAGATAAATTTACAGTTAATGTTAATCCATTGAAATTCTATTATACTAAAGTAATACACAGTTCACAGTGCTTGAAAACACAGCAAGTTGCACAAAGTTATTATTTTAATGATCTTAGTATTTTGAGCTTACAAGATACCAATTGGTAGAAGTAATGAGTTATTGACATAGATCTGTATTGACATCCAGCAATAAAAGCTGCATTTGGAAATTCAAGGATGAGAACTCTAATTCTGCAGGGTAGAGCTTTTCTTCTGAAGAAGCAGTATTTACAACGGATGGAATATTTTATTTGAAAAATAACCCATATTCATACAAATAAAAATCTTTTTGGCAGAAAACATAGGACATCGAAACCCATTAGATTAAAACTTATTATTTCATGACATTTCTGCAAAAAAAAAAATCCTGTAATTGCTTGATTTATTTTCTTTTAAACGTAAATATTTGAATTAGGAACATCTGTTTAGTCACTTAATACAATAAAGATCTATTCTCATGATAAACATGTGTGTAATGACACATGTGAATTACAACTGATCACAAATGTTTGCAAAAGTATTTTTTAACATTTCTAATTAATAAATAAAAGTTGTATTTTCATAATTAGTTTACATCAGTGCATCCAATGTCACAAGGATTAACAACAAGAAATTAAAACTTAAGGACAGAAGAAAGTAAAAAATTCTTTACACCTTATTGTTATTATTTTACATAACTTAATGTGAATCTCAAAGCTTAACAAAGAAGAAATATTTTAGAAAAGTGAGGTAGTCCAGTCAGAGAATATTAAAAGAAATTATTCATGATTTTATGAAGAAGATTTTGCTGTGAATATGGATGAAAATATCATCCATTATCAGCATATTTTGTTGTATTTTTTTTAAAAGGTAAGGGTGCTGTAGAAGCTCATAGAAAAATTTGCAGTGTTTATAGAGATGATGCCTTAACGGAACGTACATGTTAAAATTGCTTTGCCAAATTTCATTCAAGAAATTTTGATATCAATGATCATCAACGGTCTGGCCTCCCACACGAAATTGAAACGAGCAATGTTAAGGCCATTGTTGATCAAAATCCCATCCAATCAGTGCGAGAGATTGCTATGGCCCTAAATGTGTCACACGCAACCATAGAAAAACATTTGCCCAAGCTCGGGTATGTTTGGGTTCCTCACATGATTTTTTTTTTAAATCATATAAAGTGAAAAATACAACTTAAATACTACTTTAGCTATCTACAAAAAATTTAGCAGGAATTTAGGGCCACATAAACTACACAAAATCACATTAACATGACCTTCGTAAACAAACTACAAATGGAGATAAAAAAGAAAAACCTGTACAGAGTTTTCGTTTATTTTTTCTTTATGTAAGCATTAAATAATAAAACATTCATATGACTTTTCAGAGCAATAATTCAGCTTTCCAGTGGATATAGTAACATCGAATTTGGAGAACATCCTGAAGAGTTATGAATGATCAGAAGGGTGTTGTGTTCGACCAAGACAACGCTAGGCAACACACCTTATTGGCTGCTCGCAATAAATTATTGAGCCTTGGATGGGATCTTTTGCCCCACCCTCCCTATTCACCAGACCTAGCTCCAAGTGACTACCACTAACTCTGGTCTATGCAGAACTCCATGAACAGAAAGAAATTTCAAAAGGAAGAGGCCATCAAAAACCAGTTGGATCAGTTTTTTTAACAATAAACTCCAGACATTCTTTGAACATGGCATTATGAAGTTATTGGAAAGATGGAAAAAAGTCATATTAAATGATGGTCAATATATTGTCAATTTTATGTCTATAATACATTGAGTTTTATTTCATCCTGAAAAACCGAAAGGATTTATTTGCCAACCCAATAGCATAGTTGAAGGATGATAAAAAAATTGGCAAATATTTTATTATTTTTTCAAAAAAGAATTTACCTTAGTTTAGCCGC